AAAGAAAAGAAGAGATTCTTTTAGCAGGCATGCAAAAGTACAAGCTTCGAAATTGTCCTGCACCAGCAAAAGAAAAAAAAAAGGCAAGTAAACACAACAGGCATTTAAACAAACCACATACAATCACTTTGTATTGTTTGCCAGATCTAAACAAAGAAAATGCCTGTGACTTGGAGATTCCTTTATCAGCCAGCGTCTCTCAACTCTCTCGGAGCGTAAAGGGCAGGGATGGGATGGAATATGTACTGTTGCCACTGTGCATGGCCTGTGTCAGACTCCCAGCCATTTGCTACAGCAGGGTGGAATTCCCAGCTGCCCAGTCTTGTCCATGCTTCCTCAGCTTCTGCCAGGCTCCCCTAAAGCCTTGGAAGGCGGTAGTTCATTGAACACCAATGCATTTATTTTTATATTGTTACCACATTCCCAAGAGGAACCTTGGCTATGATTTCAGCTGGTCTCACCACACTGTCCAAATCCTTCATCAGGAGCAGCTGGGAAAAGAAATCACTCAGGTTTCTGCACAGCACATTGCTGGTACACTTCCTCCCTCCCACTAATCCCGTTAATTCCAGTCTTCATTTGCCACTCCTGGTTCTCTCTTGTTGCTGTGACTGACTGCACAAGTGGTCTTGACTTTGAAAGGTGACCTTCAAATGGGCACCTTGAGTAACCTCTACCTCAGACTACTTTGGCTACTCAGGCACAAGATATCTTACAACACAAAAGATGACAACTTTTGATGTCACCTCATTACTTATCCTAGTCCAGGAATGGAGTAACGATGAGTTCTTCCACATAAATCCTTCCAGAACCACCTGCCTTGCTGAGAAGCTCTGGGTGGGTCACTGAAAGGGAACAGCAGTATGATATCCAGCACTTTGCATCAAACTTCTCCAGTGCAGCATCTCACTCCTTTTGTCAACAGCAGTAATAACGTTCAGTCATCAACTTTCTCTGTGGTGCCATCTCTGCATAGAGAAAGGGTTATTGAGAAATGGAATCAGTCCATTCTATCGTATTTTGGAAAGCAGTGGAGCTTGAGGAGAATCCTGCTATTGTGCCTCCCTTTGGGGGAGGGCAAAGAATCAGTTACAATGGAGGATATTTGGTTTCACATTTGTTCTTAGAATTATCTTCCTAAAGCCATTGTTTAGGTTAGACATTAAAAAAAAATTTCTTCACAGAAAGGGTTGTCAGGCACTGGAATGGGCTGCCCAGGGAGGTGGTCGAGTCCCCATCCCTGGAGGTATTTAAAAGACAGGTAGACGAGGTGCTTAGGAACATCGTTTTGTGGTGGGATGGTAGTGTTATGTTAATGATTGGACTTGATGATCTTAAAGGTCTTTTCCAACCTAAATGATTCTATGATTCTATCATGCATCATGAAAACATCCTGGATCTTCTCTCTCTCTTCCCTGCTGGCCTCCACAGTTCCGTGAAGAAGGCAAACAGGAACGGGGAAAAGATAATTCTCTCCCTGCTGTAGTTGTTGCATCTGTCCCAGGTCAGATAATGACAGACAAGCCTGTAGTGCCAGATGGACCAGAAGGGAAAGGAGAAGGGTAAAGACAGACCTTCTTACCCTGTTTCTTTGTACTCTTTGAAGGAGCAAGGAAACATTACCTTATGAGTAACAATAAGCAAATATTGATGTCTAACCAATACCTTTAAAATAGATATCAATTATCAACAGGGCATGACTGTGTTTGAATTTATCCTGTTAGCAGAAAACTTTTGTGTAAGTCTCATTATATCCCAGCAGAGTGGAAAGCTCTGCCAAAAGCAGCATTCCAGGCTTTTCTCAGATGATGCTAAGAAGACAATGTCTTAACTCGGCTATCGCCTCTCAGCTAGAGCTGAGGGTCAATGTTCACTTCTAATGATCAGAAATGACATTTATTCCTTAACTTGTGAGAGCAGCCTGCCTCTCACACCTTTAGTCAACCTTTTGCCTTTCTTTTATGAAAGGAAGGAGCTTTTTCCTGTTGCTACTGGTCTCATGCCACTGAAAGGACATTCCAGGTCTCAGGACCACTGGGAAAGCAGGAGAAAAAGGAACGGACAGTCTCTAGAAATTGGCTTCCCTGTTTAAGAACCAGAACCCAGCTTGAATTTTGGGAGCCTTCACTTCTGACAGACTCAAAGAAAATGCCGAAGCAGGATAAGTAATGACTTCAGGCAGTTGGCATTTTTGCCTGACTGGAGGCCGAGCATTGCTTGTTCTCAGTAGTTAGGCGATGGCAAACTGCCTATATTTCCTTGCTGTGTTGGAAATGTCATTCAAGATCAGGTGTGCAAAGACTGGGGAGAGGTTATATAATGTCTTGGCTACTTCTATCTCACATCTGGCCCTTTGGCATTAAGCTACCTATAGAGAGGATGACTTTGCCCATCCAAATTGGATTTTGTTTTAATCTGGCATTATTTTATTGAGACTAAAAATAGAAGCCAAAATGTGTGTGAACAGGGTGAAAGGAGTGTCTGAAGTTATGAAATGAAACGTGGGGAAAAGCCGGAGAGAGCCTTAACAAACCAGGGAGTAGGGAGCTGAGTAAGAGAAATCAGAATGAAAGCTGTCAAGTACAGAAGGGCATTAGCAGTCAGGTGAGGAGCCCATCCAGTGTCTTCTCCATAACATGGGAGCAGGAAGGCTCATTCTGGCTTCTGCTGCTATTTCTCCACTTGTTAATGAGGCTGCTCACTGCTCTTTTCATGCAGGGAGACTTCACTCAAATACAGTTATGTGTACTGTTTGTGTCACCCCCTCTGCCAAGTAAATTTTCACGACTTGGAACTGCTGCTTTCCCTTGCCTGCCTGGTCCAGCAAGCTAACTTGAAATTGTGCCTGAAAGATGGGGGAGGGAAGGCTGGTCTTCTGTTGTCAGCTGTCCTGGCTTGCTAGTGTCAGTCACCCATGGATATAAATAAACCCCATCTATTTATTGCCTTTCTGAGTTGCACTATATATTATCAAGAGAATGCTGGGCATCATTCTAGGGTTAGAAATTCCCTCTGCTCTGGGATAAAAAAATCTTAATTTCTAGGATTATCAGAGCTTTTCAGGGAGAAAGGAAGTTCCTGTTTTCAACACTAGCTTCAGGAGGCTTCGACATGCTTCTCAGTTCTGCCACAGGCTTGCTGTGGGTATGATGAAACAGCCCAAACTAGCTCTAAAAACGTTAGCATGGGTCCCTGACCCAGTACTCTCAGTTAGCCTAGTGCTCTGCTCTGTCTCATTCCTCAGCTTGGAAGCAGAGTAAATTAGGTGCTGGTGTCTGACCCAGGTTGTGTATGTCTGTGCTGGGAAAGTATACATGGCACTGAATTTTAGTGTGCGGGTATCCCATAAATGACTTTACACAACTCCTGTGATTTCCTTGTGACTCAGAACCATATCCATCAAAAGGAGGTAATCCTTTGCTTCCCCCTATGTAGCTGTTCTAACTACAAAAGTGTTAGTTTTTGAGGTACAGTCACGGATGACATAACAGTATGCAAACATGTGGACAGACATACAGGCAGATACTTTAACACCGCCCAGCAGGCAGAGAATTCATTCTGTTGGATGTGGTGATTCACTGCAATGACTCTTGTCACTACTGAGAATCAACCCGTGATGTTGGCTGCCGTCAGGAATGAGGGGTATTTTTCCTGCCCCCCCTACTCAACCAGAACCTCAACCTACTCAACTAGAAGGAGGTTGAACGCTCACTAGTAGCTTTGAAATGATAAAACTTCATAGAATTATATACATTAATATTTATGAAATGATTGAATTGGCTGTGAGCTGCACTTATGGTAGCAACCTACATATTCACTTCTAGACATAAGAATGTCCCTCTCTGTGTTGAGTCCTCAAGGCAGCCATACAAGAGGAACTTATCCAAAGTGATTTTAATTCAGTTGGTGAGAAAAGACAAACTGTACTGTGCATTTCTTTAGGAAAAGGAAGGCTCAAAAGCCTCTTCAAAACAGGAAGATGCGGTTGAAGTTGGCTGCCTCTCTCATCTGCCTTTGTTTCCTTAATTTCAGCGTATTGCCAAGGGATAGGTTTCTGGACTGGTATCCTATCTTAATACACTTGGTTGACGGTTTGGTTCCTAATTCAGGTTCCAAACTTTCAGTGCAGTGACATAGCTGGCAATCCTGCTTTCTAAACATCTTTCCAGATCTTCTGAGTTGTGTGATGTTTGGCTCTGTGCTGGGCTTTCAAGGAGAGTGTATTTTTTAAAATATAGCAATATTTTTAATAAACACCTCTCAACAAATGTCACTCACATTTAGGAGCAAGCTGATGTGCTAAATACACAGGACAAGCTTTACCTACTAGATTAGCTGTAAAATGCAAACTGTTCAAAACAAACTTGGTACATTTCTAAGTGGTTTGGATTTTTCATTTTAAAGGACTGTCTAAGGATTTTTAAGTAAAGGAAGTAAAGATTACATTGACTTTTTCCTATAGCATGCCTAAATAGGAAAATGTCACATTATGTAGAACTAAAATCTATCTATAATAATAGGAAGAAAATGTTTTTCCTTATCCCCATTTTGTTTCTTTTAAAGATCAACCTTTTTACCCCCCCATCTCTCCTGCACCAAGGTCCTCAGCATCTTTTGGAGTGGGAAAGTAGACTCCCATGCAAGTGAATGAGTAAAAGACACAAAATAAAGAGACAAAGCACATTCATATGGGCGAAGGATTTAGAGATACAGGAGGAGTGTGTGAAGAGATGAGTCAGATGAGTGAGAGGCAAAGAGTAAAGAAGGTATTCTGGGGCTTGAGAGGAATACCAAAGTGCTTTTTCACAGAGTAGCTTATTAGCTTAGGTTTTGTCATACTGATCTGTGATCTCATCTGTTTCTGCAGAGAGAGGTTGTGTGGTAAGGGAGATCCAGATTTCTGGTGATGGCCGAGACTTACAGAGCAGTGCACCAATTTTTCCCACAAAATTGTTCCCCATGATTACTCAAAACCTTTGCTTTGTGGTTTTTTTTTCCAGCCTCTGCTCACAGAGAAGGACTAAGACTGAACACCAGGTGAGGAATCCAGGGTGTTGCTTCAAGTATGGGGCAAAGGAAAAAGCAGCAGTGACTTCATACCACCACACTCAGATAACACCCAGGAGAGAGTGAAGAGGAGGCCCTGGTGAGAGGACCACCCACTGAGGAGAGTACCAGAACATCTGTGGAAGCTGGTGATACATCTGCAAACTGAGGTGAATGATTGCCTCTGAGAGCTGCTGCTGCTGAGTCTTGGGGTCCCTTCCTCCCACCTCTTTCTGATCACTAACCATGAGATCTTTCTATAAGACAGAGGTCCTCTAGCTGTCTGTGTTGTTCTTCCTAAGGTCCAAGTTTGAACATAAAGTCTCATTTGCTCAGCCACTTCAGTCTGTCCTAGTATGGTAACAGCCAAGATTCTCTGCTGTCATCGCATGGCAACCATCAGCAGAGAAAAATATTAGAACATACAACTGGAGACATCCTTGTTGGTTGCAGTCTTGAATTTTGGCACAGAGCCATAGAAATGATTGGTTTGAATAAAGTAATTTCTTTTTTTTTTTTTTTGTTTTGGTTATAATTTCAGTTAATTCACTCCCTCAAAATATTTGCTGTCACTATATTGGACGGGATTTTAAATCTGTCTTTATGTTTCATTGCTGGATGGTTATGTTCTGTGTGGCTTATTTTTGTATTTTGATTTCTGTTTGTTTAGGCTTTATAAACTTTATAAATTGGCTGATGTTTTCAGACCCAAGCTTGAACCCTAAGGCCCAGGTGGCTCTTATCAGTTGCAATAGTGGCTTGGTGAAGCACTCCAGTTAAAATTTGCCTAATGCTATGAAAATTAATTTGCTTGCGTTAGAAAACAACATCAGCAGCTGGAAAATGTATTGGAGAGAAGAGCCACCCATCCTTAAAATGAGCAGGAAGCAGCTTCAGCTCTGGCTCTTTGTTGGTGCCAGGTTAAAGAAAAACTCGGTATTTTGCAACTTCTGCCTTGTCAAACAGCAAGTGGTATGATTGTCATTCTCAAAGGGTACAAAATCTCCTATTGTTTGTATCAGAGCCCTCAGAGACTGGATTCTAACAGCCTGTTTGATCTGTTTTCTTACTCCACAGCTCCTCTGTCATTTCTAGCCTGTAGAGTCATGATTTAGACATCATTCTGATGTGTTGGCAAGTAGATAATGATCAACCCAAATGGCAGACAGAAGAAAGAGTCTTTAAATTCTCTTTAAATATTGTGTTTATGTTCACTCTTGGATTCTGCCTATTTTCTGTCATTCAAGACCAGATAAATTGTGAGAAGATGAAATAATGAGGTTCATACCCCATTAGTTTCACTATCACTTGCTCCAGGCATGAATTCATAGGACAGAACATGCATTTTTCTATTTCTGTTCCACTCACGCATATGACAGACACTGAATACTTCATTTGTCCAAAATGCAGTTCTGATGTAGTTGTTCCCTTACTTTGTTGGCTTATCTTTCATTTACTAGACAGTCATGATCCTTTTCACTTTCTTTGCATTTTTCAGCTGTGTTCTTCAAGAATCTCCATGACATTTTTCTACTGCCTGTGCTGCTTTCACATATCATCAGTGACCAAGAGATTTGTAAAATCTTGTAAAGTTGCTTTCAGATCATGACCCTTCTGTCTGTAATCATTTAAAGCCTCCCATGGATCTCAGACATAGATGTTTCTACTGGTGCATCAAGTTATCAGCTCATGATGAGTGAAAATTTAGTTGCAGAAGTTGTTACTTCAAACTTCTGTGCAACCTCAGCAGCTGTGGGCTTCAAGACCTTGGATCTGTCTTCTCATAGCCTACTCTGCTAATGTGTGGTATTGGCTATAGCCTCCAGCTCTGTTCCAGAACTGTCAGAGGGCTTATTTCCCTATAAGACTTAGCTTCAGTAATAATAGATTCCATTCCTTTCTTCCCACCAGGGGATCAGAGTTACCCTTATTCCACTGGGTTTCATGTGCAGGATTGAGTAGCCATTAGGGTATACATCCTTGTGCAATTCTCATCTCTGTTTTTGTTCTCTAGTTTCTTCATTCAGGTTGTCACAGCCACCACTGAAAACTATAGAGAGGTTTGGAGGATAGAGATTTAAATGCACAGTTTTCCCAGGAAAGGTGATTGTCTTTGGAGGATCATTGTCAGAAACAGCTTTCTTACATCTCTGGCAAATTACTAATTAGTGCTGGCTTATTATCAAAATAGGTTAATTGTTTTGTCAGCTTTTCCAGTCTCCCACCCACTCATTTTGGGATAATGATTTTACTCAGCTACAGCCAGCATATTTTCCGATCTTCTTTGCATTGCATGTTAGATGTAGCCAACACCACATCTGTTATCTGTGATGACTTAGTAGCAGTGTATCATTCATCTTGTCTCTTAACATTTTTGAAATATTCAGAGAAATGCACGTTGCAGTCTAAGACCCTTGTTTGGAAGGATGAATTTTGTCAGCTTCAGGAGCAGTGAAGTCTTGCATTCTTTGTCCCTGGAAATTTTTTCTTCTGCTTCCAAAATACAAAAAAAAAACCCCAAGGGATATCAGGACTGGTCCTTTACCTCAAGCCAAACACCTAGACCTTGAACTCCTGTTCAGCCTCAGGATATGTTAGGGCAGCCAGAGCATCAAAAGAAATAGCAGTACTCCTTTGCTTTGGGCATCTGCTGATCCCAGCTCTGAACATAAATTCTTGTGAGCATGTGCAGTAGAGAATCAGGAACAAGTCCTGTGATTCCTGTTACTTTATTTTTTCCATCTCCTTGTACTCCTCAGCCTGGAGTCCACATATGTCTTTGTGCATGGTGGATGCTGGGTACTGATGGATAATGTGTATTTTGTCTCTTTGCAGCTCTGCAACCTCCATGTCTGTCCCTTTTCAAAAACCTCTCTGAGGGCTTCAGTTAGAGATTAAGTGGGGAGGCGTAGAACTGTTTCCCACATGTCTTAGAGAGAAGGCATTTTACAGGAAGTGTTTTGCAGTACAAGGGGGGAAAGGAGAATAGCAAACCATTTGGGATTTATAATTGTTGCATATGAGGGGAGAACAATTATATGCATGCTCCTCGTGGGGATTAGTTTGTGTCTGCTTTTATGACATTTACTTCCCTGTATTCAACAATGAGTTTCATCGAAAGTGCCTTTTTTTACTGTGAGAAAAGAAAATTACCAATAGAAAGCCCCAACAATCATTTGCATCTACTTCAGTGGTGAGACTCGATAATATAACCAAGGGGCCCTCTTCTACTCCATGATGTTTGTATCACTTATAAGTTAAGGACCCTGTTTCAATGACAGAGAATCAGGCTTGTTAGTCTTGAAAGGAGTAAGGTGCATGTCAGAGTACTGGAGGCTGCAGTAATGCAGAATTCATACAAGTGTTTTGTGCCATATTTAGACGATGAGCATACCACAACATAAAAATTAAGGGAGGGATATTAAATTCTCTCCTCTCCAGAAGCAGCTGACTTGTACTTAGTACATAAGTATTAAGTTCACTTTCATATGGTTCATTTTGGCCTTTAAACCAGCCTCACAAGTCGTCTGAGTGCCATCAGTGGGAGATCATGTTGCGACACTAGATAGACCACTTAGTCTTGGATGCCAATGAGGCATACTGAAATTTCCATTCTCAAGACTAGATATGCTTTTGGACAATCATGGTTTGTTGGAAATGCTCCTCATTGTGATGCCTGGAGGGTCAACATAGATATCTCTGATACTGGTGTCACACTGTGGTAGGAGGTTTTGGTATCAAGACTTTGGTTTACTAGTAGGAATCTCGATGCTGTGCCTCTTCCTCATACTGTAATATGGATAGTCTCTGTGTGCGTGGAGTTGGAATGGCTGGCAGTGCTGGACCATTCCTTTTCTTTACCTGTGAAGGAGATCATTGTCTTACAGGTGAGTTTACAGAACAGACTGGATTCTCAGCTCGCATTCTTTTAGGCCTGTACCTTGTACTAATACAGCAGTTACAGTAATTTTGGATTATTTGCTGGAAACAAAAGTAGTCTGGCTCCTGCTTATTTTTGTTAAGATTTACTTGATCAAACTGCCAAAGACTTTTTTCTTCAGTCAGTCCTACATTTGCTACTGATGATAATCCCGGGCTCACTGTTTGAATCTGGATAGGTTATTTGTTGGTGTTTAAATAATTGGATTTTTTTCGTTGCAGTAACTAACTAGCTGACTGATCCTCTTCATACTGTTTCTTTTCTGGACACATTATTCCTGTAGATCTGTCATGAGTTTCTTCTAAAAGAAGCTTCTGAGCTTTACGTAGCCTGAGACTTTACCTCCTTTTCTTCTTTCTAGAACCTTGTGTTCCTAGAGCTAAGACATTCTTGTTACACCAAACATCAGGAGGACCTTATTTTATCTTTGCAGAATCAGGTCAGTCAAACAGTCCTTGAAACTGGTTATACCAAGAGCACAAAACTTAACATTCATAGTTCTCTTTATGCAGAAAGTGGTTAACTGCAAAAGAGATGAGCAAGGAGGCGTGTAAAGGAGAAGGTGAAAAGGGAGTAATTGTTCATAGGTTTGCCCATGAGAAGAAGTAGGAGCATCAAATGAAACTAACACATCAGATTCAAAGGGGAAAAAAAGGGGGGGGGGTGTTGTGATTTTCTTTTTTCACAGTACGTAATTGACCTATGGAACTCCATGTCACAAGATGTTGTGGGTACAAAAAAGTGTATATGGTTTGAAAAGATAAGTAGACAAATCCATGAAAAAGTAATCTACTGGGGCATATTAAATATTAAAACTAAAAAACAAGCAGGAAGTTTCTAAGACTTTTCAAGTGACTATTCTGGAGAAGTATCATGATGGGCTTTTTCCAATTTTTAGTGTGTCTATCAGGCGTGTGCTGTTGACCAGTGACAGAGATGAGAGGTGGGCTAGATGGTCTTGTAGTCTGACTTTGTATGGATGTTTTATTTTGACAGTCGCAGTACAGCCTAGTAGAACAGTTAAGGCAAAGTTGCCTTCCACGACAACAGCATGTTCCACCAGAATTCACTCTGTGGTGTTGGGTTCTCTAAGAAAAGTCTCCATTGCTGACATCTGCCAAGTTGTCGCATGCAGCTTGTCTATGTCTTCACCTGGATGGGCGCTATATATTGCAGAGTTTTTCAGAATGATGAAGCTCTTAAAAGAGCATAAAGGACACCAAGATCCACCTCTAGACAGTTGTGATTTTGGGGGAAAGTAGGTTGCTGTATGGAAGTCATCACTAATATGATGTATGTAAATGGTTAATCACTTAAATATGGAAAAGAAAATACTTACTACTCTGAAGGTCTTAATCTTATTCATACACATTTCACTTCTCTCCATCTTTGTCTTCCGAAGTGCTTGAGTGCAGAGCACCTTCTGGGTGAATGTACACTACCACCCCACATCTTAAAGAACTACAGTACCTGGTCACTGCTTTCTTCCCACTTTAGAACCCTACTGTCCTTTTCGAAAAAAATGAGATTAAGTTTCCCTGCTGCCTTAGAGATGAGTAGTTAAGAAACACAAGCTGATCTTCTCCAAAATTGTTGAATGCTGAGTTTTTGAAACAGCCTCTCCATGTGGTTTTAACACAGAGGACAAACTTCACTGAACTAAAGGTGACAAACAAGACACCAAGTCTGCCCTGAGGAGTCTGCTCTGTCTGTTACCTTACAAAAAAAAAGGATTTTACTGGCCCTCATTGAAAAAGAGTGTTCACTGCTGTTCCAATTTACAGGAAAGAATCACTGATCACTGTGGAGACCCTGGTGTGAAGCTTTTGCCAGTGGTATTCAGTGAATAATAGTGGTTCCGTAGGGAAGGGG